TTTCAGTTGCGTTAATCAGATGTTTGGAAGATCACAGATCTACTTACCAGTCATTACAGTATTTTTCCCGTCACTTTCACGCTAATCAGCCGAATTGTAATTGGGTACTGTCTGAAGTTACATTGTAAAAAAATGCAGCCCAGAAAGTTCAAACCCCAGAGGATATCCGTTAAAACGTGACGTATCGTAAGGCCATTTAGATTTATCATCCATTATTAGAGCTAATCCCAAGTAAGATAGGTGTTAAAGAACAGCACGTGCTATCTATCATACGACTTCAATGATCCGAAGGATGCAATTTTGTTGATTAATTCTTGAGTCAATGACAGTTCGATACGAATGCACAAACAATACTTTTGTAAGATAGCTATCTTTTCTGGGTCGAAAATGATTAAAGCTTGTTTATATCGTGAAACTATATTAAGATAATGTCACCAAATTACTTAGCTTTCCTTGGGTAAACAATGTAGGATACAATATTATGACTCTTTCTCGCAATTGATTAACAATAAATGCTTAGAAACTGTAATAATCAATTTGTATCAGGTTTATATTTAAGAACAGTTTACACCAACCACGTCTAAGTACAAAACTATGGCTTAAATTTGTAAAGCCTAATTTTGACACGAAGTGTCTACAAACAAATAACTACACTCAAAATATCACATAAACACTGCGTCAAAAAACAAACAAAAAAAAACAGAGGGTGAAGTACAGGCTCAGAGTATAAAACTAACGAAGATTTACGCTACAGAAAATGGTTTAGTGTCAAGTTAAATCACTTTAATAGGTTCCTTGATCGAACTTTCATTTTCTACCACTTTGGATATTATGAGAGAACCTCGTTAGATGTGAATACCAGTTACATTGACAGCCCAGCAGATATGCCTCGACATTAGCGAATAGATAGGTACATTTCCTGCCATACAAGCTGACAGTTTTAGTTTTCTACACCCCGGAGATTTATGTTGATTGCCCATTGGATAAATGTTAATCTTATGTAGCTAGTGAAAAGCACCAAACTGTTAGATGGAAGCGGGATGGTTGTACTACTAATACTCTAGTTTCTTTAAGGCTATCATATGAACACTAGAAAAAATTAACAAACAATCACTTAGTTTTAATACGAACAAACCGCCCTCAATAAATCATTTTCGTATGACATTATAATATCAGAAACACTATTACAGTTATCTTTAAAATAACAGGAACAGCTCTACTGTTCCATACAAGATAACAGGAACAGCTCTACTGTTCCATACAAAATAACACGAACAGCTCTACTGTTCCCTACAAAATAACACGAACAGCTCTACTGTTCCCTACAAAATAACACGAAGAGCTCTACTGTTCCCTACAAAATAACA